GGCAATCGTGCTAGCATCAAACCCGGCCTAGCCTGGTTACTTGTTCTGGGTGGTGACCTTCTGTCTGTCTTTTTTTTGCCTGTGGCAGTTGGTCCATGGGCGTGTCGTATTCCGTGCTCACCATGTGGGAGGAATAGCTAGGGGCAGAGGGTCTCTTGCAGGGTTGTATCGTCCGGGTTGTAAGTATAATTCGAGCACCGGCATGATGGGACGAGATAGGGCCTTGTAAAGGATAACTACTACGTACTGTACTGTACAGCTGGTAGCGAAAAGAGTGAGGCATCACAGCAGCAGCAGCCTGTGAGGGGAGGGAGGGTCTTGGGACTACACTACGGAACCTTTGGTCTTGGCTGCTCCTATCAATTAAAGATGCTTGCTCTCTCACAGGGAACACGACGGGATTCATTGGATCTCGGCCCTCCCTGCCCGTAGTCAGATGCTCTGCATAGGTAGGGTAGGTCGGGTTATATAATGCGTATATGCGAGTATAATAAACGATTCGACTCGTTTGCATATTCGACGTTGATTCCTCTTGCCTCCCCCTCTCTTCCTTGTTCACTTTGAACAATGAGGGTGTAAACCCTCTATTTCCGATCCCAAGTCCTCTCCCTACCCACCCCCAAAGTACAATTGCTCTTCTCTCAGCCAAGCAAATGGTACTCTGCAAATCAGGGCTGCGTCGCAACCTGGGATCAGCATCACTCCTTCAGCCGGGGGGCCCCCTTCTGGGGAAGAATAGAGGGCCATGGAGAGCCAGTCACATCGTCCCCCCGCCCTCTCAACTGGGGCCTAGCGCCTGTGCGAACGGATCGATCGACATTGTCAATAACCGTTAACGTCGAACTTTGGGTACGGGCCATTTTGCTCTGAGCGTGTCAGGTGCTCTTGGGGAAGAAGGAAAGAAAAAAAGTTCCATTGGGCGTGGGCCACTGCCTGAGCGCGCCTCATCCTCTGGAATGTTTCTTTCATCATCGTCTAGGTAGGCATTTCAGTAGCCGCCGCTGAACGGGGCAGAGAGAGAGGGGGCGTTCTGTGCCGCAACCGTTGTCTTTGCTTTTTTCCCTTGGCCTCCACTCTCTCTTTTATTGTCGCTCCTCGCAAAGTCGGTCAATAAATGGCTGCAGCTGGTGAGTGCTTGGTTGGTTGCAATCTGGAGGTTGGCGGATTTTCTCTAGTGGCGTCCATCCACCTTTTTCCTCAACCGTGACACTTGCCTTCCATGGGCTTGGCAATAAGAACGAACGAGGGCCCTGTTCCTTTCCTGTCCGGGGTTTGTTTCAATGAATGGATGCGCAGGTTTCATTGAATTTTGGTCTATTGAAGTTTCTCGCCCTATCGCGCTTGGAGGTGACACTTGCCAGAGAGTTTCGAAACAGCGCCCTTGTTTCTTTCCTTTTTTCCCCTCTCATCTCTTCTCGAGTCGTCTCTTAGGTTCTTGTCAGCTTGTGCATGATAGAGTCTAACGCTCTTGAGAGCCCAAGACGGTTGATGTGGGGAAGTTCCATGCCGCTCGCACGGTGGCGATACTTAAGCGAGGGAGAGGAAGCTCCTCCTCAACTCTGGCTTGTATCTTTAAGGGCATGAAATTCTTGTTTTTTTCAGCTTCCCTCTATTGATGCTTAATTTACTGCTTGAGTCGCGAGTCGTACGTGGTCCTAGGCCTAAGGCCGGAGGTGGATCCATCGGCCCTCGTGTTGGAAATTGTAGCATGACAGAATTCCTGTCCTAGCACCAACGATCCGGGTGCCACCCTTTGTCGTTGGTGTTTGAACGGCTCTCGAGCTGTCAAGACGCGGCCTCGTCTCGGCTCGGATGGAGCACCCTAGTCGTGGAGCCAGTCAGAGCCGGCGGGCTATTTCCGTATTGCATCCCATCCCATCCCCCATCGCTCTGCCTGCCTGCCTGTTGGAATCCTCGATCCCCATCAACTTGGTCGATGAGCTCAACCCCAAGAGCGTGTATCAGCACGGTGCGCTTGTCTACCCACGCTACTGTCGATGTCGACCATCCGTTGACGACGGGCCCCCGCAGAACGGGCAACTCTGAGTCTGGCCTGGGCCACGAGGGACAGTGGCATCCGTCGTGGGATGGCGTTTGTGCGAGGGGGGGAGGGGCGCACACGGGAAGTTGCGGCGGGCGGTAGCGCGGGTGGTGCAGGTGTGCAGCATTGTGATGGACGTGTCTGGCGTTTCAGGGCTGTCGTTCGCTCGTCTATGCCCTCCCCCTCCATCCAGAGCGAGGCCTCGCCTGTCCTGGGCTGGGAGATTTGAAGAGGAGACGTCCCAAATCTCGGCGCTTTGGGGCTTTGAGCTGTTCGGCGGGCGGGCTTATGCTGGTCGCCCGTCCACTAGAAACCCACCCACACCCATCCTGTGAAATGCATCCCTGCGTCCCTACTCGCTCGCGTTGAGAAAAAGATCAGACGGGCATGACATCGTGGGCGGCGGTGACGCGGGTTCAGGTTCAGGGGTCACGGAAGAGTGGGTCCAATTCGAATACGCCACCTACGTCATTCGGGGCACCACAGCCGATCGGCCTCTGATTCGCCGAGCATGTTAGGTTCCCGGACTCGAGCGAATCAGCCTCACCCTTGGCGGACCTCGACGCTCATTGCCGCTCCAGCCAAAAAGCTCCTTTAGATCGCGTTGGATCTTGGCACCTTTACACGGTGTACCGGCAGATCTTTGCTGGTAATTCTCTCGTGTAGAGGCTGGAAAACACTGTGCCAAAGCCGTTGTTGTATGGATGTGTGGGGGGGAAGGGGACGGGACTCACACAGCACCAAGGGATGGATGGCTGCTCGCCCACGTGAGAACTGTTGGAAGCACATGTGCAACTCGGCTCTAGCTTGCTTCTTGTTATCTGACAGGCCGCGTTACAACGGGCAGCAGAGAGAGAAGAGAACAAGGCGGAGAGGGATAAAAAAGGCATGCATCCTCTGTCACATGTATAGAGCACAACCGACCTATGGTAGCGCTCAGAACCCAGATGCCAAGTCTCGCCTCGAGGCCTCACATCACTTCTCACACCTCCTTCGACATCGGATGAAGAACCGCCTCCTCCTTTTCCGTTGCAGAGCCGAAAGACCGTTGTTAACGCCATCCGTTTCAGGCGCCCGGATGGGGGTTGTCCGGACAAGGACTCTTGCAAAAGCTCCGGGGTTTTTTGAGATGGCAGGATGAAAATCATACCCCGAATGCAGTTGATGATGAACGGACCCTGAGGAAGATCTCGCGCTTTGTTTCGTCTGTCCCCCTGTGTTTCCCACCATCATGATGTTGCGGCATATCCCACGGCGGCCTCCTTTGGATAGCATTCCTCGGCGACGTTGTTTGCGATATTGCTATTATGGCAATCAGGGTCGAAGCGGTGGCAAAATAGACTTGGGCACGATACTATCTTTGGGAGTTCTCCCGGTCTCAGGCTGCCCGATTCAGGCGCGGGTGGCTGATCACAGACCACATCTCATCGAAAACACCAACCGACTTGAATCGTCTGCCATTACGTCGATGTCCCCATCAACGACCAACAGGCTTGCACCAAGTTCCAGATCATCACCCACAAATCCACATGTGTTAATCTCATCACCCTCCTGATCAACAACTGCTGCCTTGTTCAACAGCCGATCCCTCACAAAAAAAAATGAGGGATTGACCCCAAGTCTCTGTCTCTCTGTTTCTCTCTCTGCCCCTCATGAAATCTTCTGGGCGGCTCCGCCTTGAAGCGGGCCCTGTTGGACCCTGATTTTTCGAATAGCGTCTCTCCTATCAAGGCCTTAAACCTGTTTCGGACTTGCTCCACTCCAACTCGACCCTCTCTGGTCTTGTCCTCGGGAAGCCAATTCTCGTGTTCTGCCAGATGTAACCCGTTCATCGGTCAGAGCGAGAACAATGGACCAACGGCAGAGCCAGCGTCTCGGTAAATAGGAGAAAGGATGAGCATGGTCTCAAAGTTTATCATGGTCGTTGGCGTTGATCTTGTCCCAGTTCAAGGGGCTGGCTCCCCTGTCTCACCATGAATGCATTGAACCATCAACAATCGCGCCGCTTGCGTATCTTGTGCGAGCGTGTAAACCAGTCTCCCTCCCTACAGTTCGGTTGCCTGCCGAGAGCCACTCCTTGCTCGGCCGAGTCGCACACAGATGTACATCCATGTGCAGAGGCGACCCGGGAGATGTTGATGCCATGTTTCAGGGAGACAACCAAAAGCACTCGATTTCGGTCGTGACCCGGTAATTTGCCTAGTCGCACGATATCTTCCGTGCAATGGCAATCACTTGCATGGCCTGGGATCGACGGCAGGCATAATTGCTAGGTCCTTTGCAAATATTAGCCTGAATTCATATCGGTCCGTGATATTGACTCCTCGTATAGGTACAGGGTAGTCAACTTGACTGGAGATAATATCAAGGCCGACAATATGATCAACTTGGTGATCTTATAGAGCCAGGCGCTCTATATCACACGGTATATTGCGGATCTTAAACGCAGCGGTAGCGACGATCCGCCTATAGTGTCGTTTCAGTATTGTAATTAAGGCTGAGCCCCCGTGTAAGTTGTTTAAGCAGCATTAGGTCCAGACTGACAAAAGGTTGGTTGGCTCGGCTAACCTAGAGTCGAGAAAACAACAGTAAATGCGATGACAAGGATGGAATATCGAGAGAGACTAATAGTCTTCATCACACGCAAACTTCCACCAAGGATCATCATTTCATGACCATTCTGTACATTAACTATCTGACCCCCTATCCTATCCGCCTCCCAAAACATCCCGGTTGTTCGTGTGTCCAAGCAATACGCTACAATCGAACTCGCTGCCATCAGTTCACGAATGAGGGTATCAGGTGCCTTTCCATCCAGCCAGGTATCAAGAAAACACTGCCCAAAAAACCCAACAAATCTTGCCCACTTGCTCCCTTCTGACCGTATCAAACAGCCAGTACCATCCGTCATATTGCCAACCGTCTAGATATCCTCCTCTTTTACACAAAACCTAGCCCTTCATCGCCGTGGCAGGTTGTTCCGTCCAAAGTTGCCCGAGAACGCGGGCCCTCCACCAGCATTCCATCCTTGTGTCACGCTGTTCTTGACAATAAGAGCTGCCGCCGCCGTGGCCGCCTGTCGCTCCTTTTGGCGATGCCGTTCCTTGAGATAGTGCGCTGCCTCAGGTCGCATGCGGAGAATGCGCAGGATCATATCATCGCTTGGGTCTGCCTGTGCCTCTCGACGCTTCGCCTCCTTAGCCTTCCGCATGGTGCCCAGGTTACGGCTCATCATGATACTCTTTCCACGCCGGATCGTTCCCATGCTGGCAAAGGCACTGGCACTGCCCAGCGATGCTCCGAGCGCCGCTGGGGCAGAGAGCCGGTTCTGCTGCTGATTCTGCTGCTGGAGTGCCTGCTGTGCCCGCTGCGCCGTTGCGGCCGCCATCCGCTCCGACTCTCGGATCAAACTGTTAGTGTCCTCGAAGTAGAAGAAGTTCAGCGACGCCAACTCGTGCCACTTAGGCGACTTGAGCGTCTCCGCTGGGACACCCAGCTGCTCTCCTGAATCGTCCTTGGCATTGAAAAAGGCAAAGAGTAGATCTAGCCACCTATACACAATGTCCAGCTCCTTTCGTGTAAGGGGCCGTTGTTGCGAAGGCTTCTCCGATAGGGGTGGCACCAAAAGATGCTCAATCACCATCAGAACCTCCTTCCAGAGTCGTGCCATGACGGCATCCATTGTGGCCTTAGTCAATGTCTGCTTCATGATGGCAAAGTTCTCATCGAAGTAGGCAAACAGAGGATTCAACACTGCATCAATCTGGGCTGGGGTCGCTGTGGGCGCGGCCGATGCCCGCTTCTTCCAGAGGTTCGTTACCGATGCACCAATGCCACCAGTGCCCAGCAGATGTCTTAGAGTCTCGAGAGACAATGTGCTGTTGATCTGAGAGGTGAGCTGTAAAGCGTTAGCACTCTATCTTCTGCAATGATTCGAGGTGATACCATACCTTATCCGTAACCTTTCGGACCATGTCTCTCTCAGTGCGCTTGAGATGTCTAAAGGCCTTTCCAAAGTGGAACTGAATGTCATCACGTTCACCCTCCATGCTGACTCTGATCAGCAATCGACCCTGAAGGTCCAGAGGTAGCCAAAACTCCCGAGGCAAGTAGTCGCCGAAGTGGAGGGGATCCAATTTGAGTGACGTTCGTCCCACGTAGTCATGATCGCCAAATGTATCGTAATCCCAGATCGTTGCAATCATATTGACCGACCCCTGAACCGTGATGTCAAAGGTTTCATCCCAGCGTGGGTTCAGGTTCTTCTGAATGATCCTTGTCTTGTGTAGTCGCTTCTGATATTCGTCACCAAACACCACATATGGATCACTGAACCCGTTGGGATCACAGGCCTTGAGATCCTCAGCCTCAACCACCTTGATCGTAAAGGTGTACTTGTTGGGCCTGCGTGTCTTCTTCTTGGGTCCGTCGATGCTCTCTAGCAGAGCGGCGCAAGCGTCGGGGTCCATAGCCCTCTCCAGCTTATCCAGCTCTTGCATAGCATACTCGATGTTGTTGAGCTTGACAAAGGACTAGGCAAGGGTTAATATCCGTATGGTTAGGACTATGGTTCGTAAGTGTGATGCTTACCTCGGAGTAAAACTGGAAGGGCTCAACCCTTTCCTTGTTGTTCCAGGCATCCTTTGCATACTTCATCCACTTCTCCTGGGTGGTCTGAGTTTGTGCAGCAAGCTCCTCTGCCGACGGACGATCCATCTCCTTTGCAAATCGCTGGTCCACAACCTCGCAGTACTTGCCAATACCAATCGAGAATGCCCTCGAGAGAGCTGTCATGAATCTGGCATGGTGTTCCCGGTTGTCCCAGTTGAGCTGGAAGATGGTCTCGAGTGTCTGGTTGAAAAACATGAACATGTCAATGATGGACACACTGTGCCGCTCCGAGTCTCGGGGGATGTCATCTGGGTTCTCAGTGCGGACCTGGAACTGATCCTGCTTGATAGCCTGTTCGACGTATTCTTCCATCCTGCCTTCGGCAGCGTTGATCCAGCGCCACACAAAGTCAACCAAGAGGTTCTCGATATTGAAAGCAAAGGATCGGCTGGGGAGATTTTCAGAGTGAATCTGGCGGATCGCAACGAGCTCCCTGTATAGATCGAATCCGTCTTGGATATCATGCTCGGCGCCAGTCTCTTCACCCATTCCCAGAATGGACTCAAGGATCGCCTTCGCGTCCTCCTCAAAGCGCGGGAATATTTCCTCGACCAAGATGGTGAAGGGATTTACACCCATGATCTCGGGGTTCTTCTTGTATCGCTTCTTGATTCTCTCACAATGCTTGATGACTGTCTTGCCAAGCTTCACCACGTTACCAAACACCCAGTCATTTCTGTCCGCTGAGATCTCCTTTTCCATGTTCTGACGGTACAGTTCCTTGGCTTGTTCATGGAGCCTTTCCGCAAGGTGTGCCGCAAATTCAGACGCAGCTTCAGCCCTTGGAGAAAAGCAGGGGTCGTTGAAGATGTGGTTGCTTAGAATGTACTGGATGACTCCAATATCGGGGGCCTTGGCTGCGTAACACTGATCCATCTGATCATACAGCTCACGCAATAACGTCTCGTGAAGGTTATGGAGAGTGTGCTGGTACACGGCAAAGTCATGGATTGTCCAACGACTCGGATCGATTTCAGTGAGGGGAGTACTGTAGTGTGACATATGGGGAGGCTTCTTGGGTTCTGGGAGTGGTGTCTTGACAAAGTCTAGAACAGCGTCCAACTCATCGGGGAGAAGTTCTCGGTCCATAAAGTTGCGTGACGCAACCTCGAGCAAGGTGATGAGTCTGGAGAATTGGGGCACTCTCCATCTCACACAGAGCTCGGTTAGGAGGTCCATGGACTGCTTTGACAGGGGTTGATATTCAAGATCAGGGTCGTTATTGATCTGGTCAAAGGTCATGGCATGCTGAAGGATATACTTGAAGAAGGCTCTAGGATCCGGTGGAGTGAATGTGTAGATGTTGCCCTCCACTGCTCGGATGCCGGAATCACCAAGGTTTAGGGAAGCAAGGTTAAGAGACGGGTCAAAGGCCATGGAACCGTCGTTTGATTGAGAAAGAGCACGGCTGAGGTCTGCATAGGCTCGATCGTCATAGGTAGACTGAGGCCTACTGGACAAGCCTTGGTCCATGGCACCAGCCGACGTCTTTGCCAACCCTGGCTTGGCAGTCAGGATATCGAGCATCATCTGCGAGAGATGGGTGGCTTCGGACTTTTGCCACTCCAAGAAAGCGTCTTCCACATCAAAGTCCTGGCTCCTCAGAGCACCAGGCATGTTTGCGCTGAGCCTAGACTGGTAGGACTTTAGGTCTTTGAGGGCAGCCTCCTCTGTCCAAGACTGCTTGTTTTCATTGATCTCGGCCTGCGCCTCGGAGAGACTCATGCCAAAGATCCTGGCCACTTGCTGAACAAGGGGCATGTCCTTGACGTCGTAACTGAGGGGTACGATAACTTCAATGGTTGTGCCAGCGCCATCAGATCCACTACCGACCAGGTTCTGGTCATTTGTGAGCAGCTTCTTCTCGAGTGAATTGAGCTTGGACAAGAGTTCGGGCTTATCGCTGCCGTGATCATGAATGATAGCGCTAAGAAGACGAACAAAGAGGGCGAGGTGTCGATCAGGTAGGAGTTTCCATGAGTCGTCGTCTGGAGCAGCACCCTTTTGCGCCGCCTTCGTAGCAGCAGAGTAGAACATGAGAATAAGAGGCTCCACCTTCCTCTCCTTGTCAATGGTTCTCTTGAAGTTGTCCTCGGAAAATGTAATGTAAGCTTCAGCAAACGTCCGTTTGATAGCAGCATCATTGAAACCGGGGACACGCTCCTGGCCCTTGACTACATTGGTCACTCGGTTGAGCACCTTGAATGAAAAGTTGTGCGGCAGCTTCATGCTGGACGAAGAGCCTGATGTGAATTCCTGCACCAGCATACCGACACTGGTATGGGTTCTGACAGGTTGCTTCGGGGCGGGGACATATTGTTTTCGCTTTGTCTTGGGTTGCAAGAGGTAATGTAGGTAGGCAGAGCGCAAGGCGAAGCTGCGAGCATCGTCATGTTCAACGACGATGGGCTGGGCTCTGGAGGTCGCGCGGGCTCTGCCGATATCCCTACTGCTGCCCATGCGGCGGCTGGGATTGTACGAGTGTCGAGATGACATGGCGGCGGCGGCGGTCGAGGGCTGACGGCGAGGTGGACGGTGAGGATTTGGAAGAACGACGGGGTTGCTCAGGACGCGAGATGATGCCCAGTGTGGTCTATATCTACGCGCCCCAGCTCATGGCAACAGGAGGCGGTTCGAGAGTAAGATGGCGCCAGCAAACGTCGATGCTGATGGAGGAGAAAGTGGGAGGGGGACGGAGCCTGGTCTGAGCGAGCCAAGGGAGACAAGTACAGTAGCGAGGGGTCTTGGATGCTGATGTAAAGAGAGTAACAGATATGCGGTGAGTTTGCGAATGGAATGACAAGGTGCGATTGTGATACAAAGACCTTTGAGTCGGTCGCGAGATGAATTTTTTTGACTCTGGAACTTTGGTTAGAAGGCCGCTGACAGGATGGGAGATTGACGGTGTGAAGTGGTGGAAGTAGGAGTCGCCCCGTCGCCTCCTTCAGTCAATCTGATTGATCCGTGCGATAAGCAGTAGCAAGGTAGGTACTAATACGAAGGGGGGAAGAAAGCGGTAAAGACAGCCAAGCCAGCTCAGCAAGTTGAAAGGAGTGATTAGCTGGAGAGATGTGATAGCGGCGCACTGCAATTTGGGTGTGACGAGCAGTCAATGACGATCGCTCTCAAGATGGAAGCAGCTGAAGTTCTACTCAAGTTGTGAAAGATACTACGGAGCATACAGCATTAACACCAGGTTGTTCTGCGAATGTGGGCAGCCGCTGGATGCTACAGCGCCCAAACAAAGCCCAAACCCCAAAGCTCAGCCCAAATGATGGAACGCAACGTCATCCATCCAAGTTGGATCCATGGGCTGAGAGCCTGACACGCGCCAGGGATATCCAATGGCTCCGTCCCCTGGACAGGACCCTGAGGAGCGCTAACTTTGCGCTACTGCCCGCCCGAGCTCGGGCGCTTGCTTTCTGTCTTTTGCTCTCCTGAAGGTGGGGTCGGAGGCTGCGCCACGCAAACGCCGTAACCGCCACACCAATCTCATGATGGATTCATGGTGGCTGAGACGTCTTGACAATAAGAGACATGGGTTCCGTGAATATTGAAGGTGACAGATGATGAGATATTAATAACAAGGGAACTAGGAAACGTCCTCTCTCTTTCAGGTAACTTACTGTTGGTATCTTACTGGCTGTAACCATTCTCATTGTCATTGTAGATCTGGACCTGATAAGACTCTTTTCATTCCGCCGTGCATTCACTTGTCATGTATGGCATTCCAATCAAGTCAAAGAATGAATCTGTATTCGTCATTAGAACAATCAAGATGTGTTTGCGTGTAGAAGAAAAGTGGAATAATTAGTTGAACCCCTGGGATGAGAGACGACATACCACTGTTGTTCTGTTAGTCTCATGGCCGTTATTGGTGTCTCGACCAGCCGAGATCTAGACCAGCCTCGACCCTCATCGGAAAAATGCCAGAATCTCGTATAAGCTGCATAACTACGTACCCAGTGTACAGATATAGCCTTGTGCGACTGCAAGAATATGCAGGACGGCTGAGCCACAGCTTGTCAGTACGATGGGAGACGCGTAGGAGCCACCTTTTGCAAACAAAGACGTTCATGACAGGACATCATGTGTTTCCGTCCTCGTGTTCTCAGCACTCCGGACCTGATTGACAGCTCACGAGGACGTCAAAGCCGCTGCACTCCAGATTTGGAAGCCACCTGTTCGCATGCATCTTGGTTGCAATTCGCCACAAACCATGTGCTCTATCACCTCGAGGCTGCTGAAGCAAACAACTTGGTTGTGCCTTGATTGACATGACTGGCTATTACCACCTGACTTGGGATGGATGACGAGCAGCCTCTCGACGATTGGGTAACAATCTGGAGCTGGAGGTTAAAGGACTCTAACCCCGCCCAAAGAGGAGCCACGGTCATGGATCCTGGACATCGAATGCCTGAAGGGATCAGCGGCAGCAGTTCCTTGTCTGGAGAATCAAGGATCGAACCAGGGTTCTGGAGTCGGGTGCCCTTGAAATGACTGTGTGACAGTGTGACCGGGGAGCGAAAAAGGGTCATGTCAAGCGCAAGCGTGGTTAGCACTCGCACTCTTGGCACTGTACGACTGTCAGAGCGCCAAACCACCTACCTAGTTTGGGCTGAGACCGCCGTTGGCGCATTTAGCTACAGGCGCCGCTGCCCCAGCCGAAGCGCCCACCAGGAGCGCCGTTACGTTTCAAACCTGCTGGCACAAACGATTGATTGCTTGGGAGGATAGGACTGGACAGGACGGTCTGGGTAGCTCGATATCTCCAATTTTAGAAGCTCCACGGGTACCTGCGCTTGCTACTGGTGTTGGCTTGTGCTCAATGTCACTGATGCTGTGCCTTTGTCGGACCGCTGATCCAACAACAGACAAGGAACCTAGCTAACTTGATCCAAACAATGGATGGCCCCTCCGAGGATCAACTTTTGTTTGAGAGACCCGGGCTTGTTCTGTTTCGCAAGGGTCTCGGGCCGGATAAAGACCAGTACCCTGTTTTCCTCGGTGCTAGACTCCGTACTCAGCATCCGTAAACTGAACCTGAACCTGAAAGGAGAAGCCGGGGTTAGGTAGTCTCTTGATAGAGGGTGGTTCATAATAGAGGGTGGGAGGAGGTGTGGATTGTCACAAAGAAATGCCCATGACACCACCAACAGACGAGATCAGACCTCTATATGTGTGATACATATTGATGACCGAGATCATGAAGTGTACCAAAAGTGGAAAACAGAAAAAGACGGACAAGAACGCCAAGGTTTGTTGATCGCTGCGAACCGGCTTTCCAATTCTGCAGCCATTCTCCATAGAAGCATCTTGTGTGGGTTGGATGTCTGTCTCATGTACGACCGGCGCCGCATCCCCGACAAGCAGCAAGCAACCAACTTACATACATACATACATGCAAAGACCCTGCCGAGCCAAAGTAAAACACCGACGACTAATTTGCCTGTTGGGGCCAGAGGACGAACATCCCGGGTCTTTGCTTTATCAGTCTGGCCAAGGGCTGCTGCTAAATACAAACTTATTCTGTGGGATTTGACGCGTGAATTCTCTCCTTCTTTCTTTCTCCCCGACTGAAGTGAAGTGATTCTACGCCTTCGTTATCCACTGCAAGACTCTCTCTTGCTTCACTCTTGTTCCCCTCCTCCTCTTTTCATCCGCCTCCCCCCGCCAACCAACCATCGGCCGCTCGCCCGCAGCTTCTCCGTCGTCTCTCTGCCCGCCCTAACCTTGACATCCGTCTTTCGTCGCCGCCTGAAGAACATCCCCCAGTCTTCATCCATCCCAGTAATCGCCGGCATTACGACACCCACACGCAGCAGTACTATTATCAGAGCGCCATTTTATGACTGCCTATCCCGCCGCGCACTCGACGCCTCGATACTTACGTCGCCTCTCGAGCTTCGCGCATCCGCTAAATACATAGACGACACGCCCATTCCCGAGGCGGTCGCAAACGTCCAGCCCGCCTGCGCCCGCGCCCTGAGCCACATCCAGCCAGCGAGTCTGCATCCTGCGACTCCGACATCATTTCTACAGCTAGTCGAGGTGCGAGTGGGCCACTCCGGTTGGCTCAGCGCCAGATGACGGTCCCCCTTGTCCCGCCCTGAGCCCCGCGCTACCACGATTCGTACTGGCACTATCCTGTCCTTGCTGGCCTGCTGCTGCTGCTACTGCTACTGCTACTGCTGCGACTGCTGCTGCTCGCTCGCTGTCACAGTGTCACGGTGTCTGTCGCCTGTCGCCTGTCGCCTGTTTCGCCGTTGTGCGCCCCCCCGGTGTGCGTGCGTTCGTCGCTCCATCTTAAAAAGATCCCGACAGCTCCAGTTGTTGGGTCCGGCCGCGACTGTTTCCGTCCCTCGTCTCTCGCCGCCCGCCGCCCTCACATCGCGACTCAACAATGGGTATCGTCAGCAGCAAACCCGACGACGGGGCTGCTCTTTACCTGAGAGATCAGAACCGATGTACGTTGATTTATCCTTCCCCGCGTTTTCTCGCTGCGATCCCGCTCCCGCTCCGAGTCCTTGTGGTTTGTTCCTCCAAACTGACCGACTCTGTCTCCTAGTGAACATATCTTCCTTGGTCGTTACAAGCCCACGGAAGCGAACCTCTGTTAACATTGTCCCCAATGCATATCCAACTACCAAAATAACCGCCCAGAGAACGCTCGGCGACACATCTCCCATAGAATTTGTTCAGGTTGGTTTGCGCCGCTTCCCCCAGCTTCCCCTCCTCCCATCAGTCTACGACCTTTGTTTGCAGCTCCTGACCCGCCTCAGGATCCCGACCCCTCAAACCCGAGCGGTGCACCAAGTTTTCTAATCAAGCTGAGCAACGATGACGAGCTCATCTTCTCCTTCACATTTGTCATGCGCCAGTCGCAGGGCCAACCTGACACAAATCCCGGCCCCATCGATACCAGCATTTCCGGCCTCACCTATGTCAACGCCTCCAACCCCAGAGAAGTCGAGAACCTAGTGACTCGAGAGTTCCATGCCGACCCGAATCTACACAAGAATGCCAACGTGGCCTTGGTTGGCGACTATTCGACCGGTGGAAGCCCGTCAGTGACATTCGAGTGGACATGGAAGTGGAAGCCGCCGAAGCCCACAGAGGACAGAGGTGGTGGATGGAGGAACTCGTGCAGCGTACTGTTTTCCTTTCTGTTACTTGACGAGTGCATACTAACTTGAAGATGTAGTTTGTTGAGTACGATTCTCGGGCCCATCGACTGCATACATTGGCGAGCTTCTCCTATTTTGTTGCAGGTATTAACTTCCTGACCCAACATTTATGCCTCTCGCTCGCTCACTAATACAGGCATAGGCGCACCCTTGAGCCACCCGAACTCGCCCTCTCCTCCTTTCCTACTAGCATCCCCACCCAAGATTCGAGTTGCCTCGTCCCAATCAGTAGACTCGCGCATGACCGTCCCGGATATCCTCGACGAACCCGTCTCGCCCTTGATGCCCACCGCCGAGGTACCACCTACA